TGCTCTCTTGCACAGCTTGAATTCCCAGTTTTCTTTTCTAACATTCTGCCAACCTGATACTAGCATAGAGTTATCAAAGTGCCACTCTCTGCAGCTCCCTGAAAGGAGGTTGTAGCCAGGTCAGTCTCTTCTCCCAGGCAGCCAGTGACAGGACAAGAGGAAATGGTCTCAAGCTGCTAGGGGAGGTTGAGGTTGGACATTAGGAGGAATTTCTTCACAGAAAGGGTGATTAGACATTGGAATGGGCCGTCCAGGGAGGTGGTGGAGTCACTGTCCCTGGAGGTGTTTATTGAAAGACTTGATATGGCACTCAATGCCATGGTCTGGTTGACACGTGGTGTTTGATCATAGGGTGGACTTGATGACCTCGGAGGTCTTTTCCAACCTAAATGATTCTGTGCTTCTGTAATTCCTTCATGGTTTGTTCTTACCGTTTCTTAAGTTGCAGAAAAAAGCTCTGCTGATATTTGGAGATCAATCCACAGACAGACTTTGAGAATGATGTGGAACGATGTGTGTGGCTCCTGCTGGAATTGAGTGCTTTTAGCATTTCTGAAACCTGAATGCACTCAAATGTGGAGGTTTTGGTGGGTGCCTTACCTGGACCTCCTGTGGCCAGTGCCATCTCCTGTTGAGATGGGCAGTGGGGTTGTCCACATCTGGAAGTTTTAAACACACTTCCTGGCTTCCCATCAGGCTGCAGGGAATATGGGATATGCTTTGTTCCCCTAAAACAAAGGAAACTTGTGCAGAAAATGTGTTACCAAATTGAGCTTCCTTTAGATTTTGTTTCTCAGTTTTACTACTTAAAATCAGAAGCATATTTGAGGCCTCAGATTTTGCTGCTTGCCTACAGCTGTAGGTAATTGTATGTATTCAAGTTACCTTGAATAAATTCATTTGAGAGCTGTGGTTTAGTCCATTTTCATCCCACACACAGATTTATGCATGTAGATGCCTGTTCAAGGCCATGAAAATGTGTTGTCTCCCAGTTTGATAGTAAATCCCAATTTAGGTTGCAAATCAAAATGGAAAGAGCAGTGTTAACTTATTTTTTGGTGGATTGCCAGTGAGAGATCTGCATCAGCATTTCATGGTCCAACATTTTCCACATTTTTTTTCTTTCCCCCCTTCCCCTATGTGTGAAATTTCAGCAGATTGTTATGCAAAGCAGTTTTGTGTCTCAGTGTGACTGGGGAGACAGCTGTTCAGCCTAATGAGGAGTGCGAGCAGCACAGCATTTCTGGTGATTGAGACCCACGGAGGGAGCAGGATGGTGCAGGCCAGGCAGTGGTGTGTGCTGAGGAAGTGCCACGCTGTCAGCTGGAAGTACACGCTCGGCTGCTCCCTATGACAAGATAAATGAGTTTTGCTGGGGTTTGGCGGAGGCTGAAGCTTTTTTGGAGAATAGTTGTAGCACACCAAACTCCCTGTGGGACCCACAGTTTGAAGTGTCATAAGACTGCTTCCTCTTTGCTTGTTTCTTTCTTTTTTTTTCTTTAATGTCCTACAATACCTGTCATCTTTTTGAGTTATTAAAACTCTAATGTCTTGTAGCATTCAATTAACATGGGGGCTGATGATCTTTTGTTGACACTTTTTATTAATTTAGCCAAGGGGATGTTAACCAGAGTTTTATCTGGGTTAGGATAAACTGAAGACTAACACAAACAAAAATTAATTCTAGCCACATGAAAATAGAGGGAAAAGGCTTTTAATTTTTGCGATATGGATGGGGTTATGGTGGAGGTAATACTTTTGAAAGGTTATTTGTTTATTGGCTGATTCTGTTAACTTCTTTCTTCCAACAGACTTTGTGTCCCTTTCTTCCTTGTCACCATTCCCCTTTAGTTGGGCTGGTTTAATTTATAAGTAGGAAGTGGTCTTTCTTCTTCTATTTTGTTTTAATTAAAAAAACCCAAATAATGACAAAACCAAGGAAAAGGTTGCCGAGATGCATCTGTCCTATTATCATATTGAGATTCCCCAGTTGGAGTATCAGAGGAGACAAAATGTAATTTGTACTGCATGAGATTTATGAGTGCAGCACTTTTCATGTTTAGGTCTGTAGTGTTGAGCAAGTTTTTGAATTTAGATGCGTGTGATTTTTTAAAATATCAACTCATTAGGTTCCACTTTAAAAAAACCCCAAAAACAAACAACAAACCCAAAAAACCACTTTGTCGTTACTCAGATGAATAAATTGCTGATAACCCTCCCAGAGTTGTCAGGTTTGTGAGAATGATTCTGTTTTGGCCTTTCTAGATTTGTTAAGTTACTTAAAACTTCAAGCCTTGCAATTCTATTTTGAAATGAGATGTCTATGAGAACTGAACTGAGTGTTTCCCTTAGAAGAGTCACGTGTCATTTTTGTAAAAGCACAGGGAATGTTACTCAGACATCCATATACTATTTGCTCTGGAACTGGGACCAAAATTCTAGGTCATAAACACTGGGTTCAGTAAGAAGTGTTTTTATATTTAGCCACTAAATTCAAAGCTCCTTATGTAAAAGATTGTTTTCATAGTCCCATGTGCTTGCAGATAGTGCATCCCATCCTGCAGGGCCTTGCAGGGCTGAGCTGAGGGTGAATGGACGTCTAAGACCACTAAGCACCTTTAAAGTTGTCACTGAAAACACACCAGCAGCTTTCCCTTTGCCTTTCTATCGCTTGCCCTATTTCCAGAGAACTACAGAAGAATTTAAATGCATTTTTATTTTACAAACTTTTGCTTGGTGTACCCAGTAATATCTGAACAGTTAAGCTGAGAGTAAATTAAGCTGGAAAGGATTTTGTTATCTTTTGAGAGTCTTTGGAGGAGCAGGAAGGATTGAGCTAACCTGGGGTTGGCATTCTGTTTTGCTGGCAATAGTTTTGAATGTTTTTATTTAAAAATGATAAATCTAAGGATTAGAGAACCTTATGTGGTCAAAGAAACTTAACCATGTTTGAAAGTGATAAATGATAAAGCAAAACCAATATGAGATCAAAGAAGCTGGAAAGCTCTTTAAAGTTTTGGAAAAAAGCACCCAAAAGTGGAGGGTTATTTTAAAACAGTTTCACAATGTATTCCAGCTGTAATTGGAATAAACTGTATTATGGGAAAACAGATCAGATTTGTTTGTTGGCAGCAGAATACTAAAGAACAGTATATTCATTCACCTGGAGATTTTCTGTGACTTGAATTCTTTATGTTGTTGACTAGGAAGTCTTCCAATGTGTGTGTAAATTATGGAGATTGAATAGAGAATTTTAAACTTGTAAACTTTGCTTCAAATATATTGCAGCAGTATAGAGATTAGTAAAAGCCTGAATTTTTTTTCTGATCTTGTTTGTGTGGAGAACTAGTGAGAAGTGCAGATGTTGGTAAATTCAAAGGAGTTTGGGCTGGTAGGAGACAAGTTTGGTGGTAAGAACATGGCAGCTGTATTGTGCAGCAGCTTGACTGCATGGGTGAGTTTTCTTCCCAAATAAGAAGGTGCCTCATGAAAGGGGCTCAGCAGTTGTGGCCTTCATGTATGTTTTAACTTTTTGACTTTTTGTTCATAAAGTCCAGAAGATTATTCGAAGACCTCTTGGTTCTTTCTGTAATCATCTCCCTGGTGGCTTAGCTGCACTCTAATAATGTGTTAGGAAACTTGGTATCATGAAAAAAGTGGGCCTTCATCCTAATTAAAACTTAATTTGGTGTCAATTTAAATTAAGAGGCTTGCATAAACTGGTCCATTGTGACCTGGCTTGTGCTAATCTTAATCAGCAGCTTGGATAGGACATGAATTCAAATTTCTGCAGAACAACTAAAGTGACAGTAACAACTGACAACTTAAATTAAAATTACTAAGTTCTAAGAAATTGATGTGCATGACCCAAGTTACAAGATAGGTCATTAAATCAAATCTGTAGAAACAAAATTGAGAAGCCTTCCCTAAAAATGCTTTGTTAGTACATTATGTGGGCAGAAAATAACTGGCTTTGAGTTGGGAATTGACCCAATTACAATGAAAATTGTAGTACAAAACCTTTTAATTGGTTAATATGAAATAAAGGTGAAGTATTTGAAAGTAATTGTATAATCATGAAAATTGTTTCTTTGAGCCCAATATATTGATGACATATTGTTATCTGAAGTTGTAAAATACAAAGATAATAACATTCTAAAATAAAATTCTTTATAAAATAGCTTCTGGAAGTAATATTTTGGACTTTCAATTGCTAGAAATATTCCCATGAGTCTTTCTCTGACTGCCCTTGTGCATTTCTAGGCATGCTAGGTAAAATTTGAAGAACTGTATATGCCTGTGCTTCTTACTGCTTCTTGCCATTTTTTTATCTGACTCTCAGACTTTAGCTGCTTGTAAAACAGGACTAGAAATCACAATTAGAGATTGTTAATTGCTGTAGCTATTGGTAGTGGAGCTACAGTGGAGACTCTTATGTGTGGATTACAGCATGTAACAGCTTTAGCTACATCTCAGGTGTTTGGGACCTCCTCAGTATCTGTGCAGTGAATGAAAATGTCTGGGATAGCTCTACAGAAATCTTTGGATGGAAAGAAAAGCTTGGTTACTGATCTCAAATCACTTAAGATTTGTACTCTGTGCTACTAATTCAGTTGGGGTTGTGGATAAACCTGGTGGACATTAGTGTAGAACTTCAAAAGTGAATTCAGGTTTCAAGGCTGGGCCTGTTTAGCTCCTGTCAGAATCAGTGGCCTATGAAAGATGCCTCCAGAGAATCTCTACTGTTGGACTGCTTCTCTTAGCACTTGGGCCACTCAAGCCCTGTTCACCTTAAGTGTCATAGCTTCTTGTAAGAATACTTTTAACTTCAAAAATAACTGCTTGGAATTGAAAAATTTCAGATTACTCTGCTTAAAAAAAAAGGCAAGCTACATGTGCTAAAGGAAGCACAGAAGCAGGAAATAAAACTTTCAATCAGATGCTAGTTTAATAAAGAAGTTCAGAGTTTGACATCTTTGTCTTTACTCCTGGTTGTTTAGCACTGTGACATCTGCAGTTTTCACTGTGGGAGACAACGTTGTTTCTGGTAGTGATGACCGTACAGTAAAAGTCTGGGATTTGAAAAACATGAGGAGTCCTATTGCAACAATCCGCACAGATTCTGCAGTCAACAGGTGAGCAGATCTCTGAGTTACTGCTTTGCTTAATTTGTGCTTTATTAATCTTAATTTCTTTCATATGTGGGAATGGTTTAAAGCTGTGCCACAGAAGTTTAGACTGGACATTTCTTTCCTGAGAGGGTGGTCAAATCCTGGAACAGGTTTCCGAGAGAGGTGGTTGATGCACCAAGCTTTCCAGAGTTTAAGTATTAGGACAAGACCCTCAATAACATGCTTTAAGCTTTGGTCAGGCCTGCATTGGTCAGGTAGTTGGACTGGATGGTTGTTGCAGGTATCTTTCAACTGAAATAGTCTGTTCTGTTAAGTCACTGAATATACATTTATTTTTTGTCCCTGAAATGAAACTTGAGATTTATAAGAATTTGAAAAAGGTCTGAAATGGTTTTATAAAGTGCAGGTATGATCAACATTAATTTTTAGTAAGTACATTGCTTTTAAGAAATTTTCTATAAGAAAATGCAGATGTTAAGGCCATTTGAGGATCTAGTACAATAGAAAATACCTTAATGGTTCAATATTTTTTTCCTCTTTCCATTTGTGAATTCTAACCAGGAAAAATTCCGCTGCATCCCTTCCCGTGAGCTTAAATTTGTGCTGTCAGTTTCTATTTGTCAGGCTCGTTGTTTGCTCCCCACCTCCTTTTGTCCCTTCCCTGCAGGATTAACGTGTGCGTTGGCCAGAGGATCATCGCCCTTCCCCACGACAACCGGCAGGTTCGGCTCTTCGACATGTCAGGGGTGCGGCTGGCGCGGCTCCCTCGCAGCAACAGACAGGTACCTGCACCCTCAGAGTGTCTGTCCTTCCTCAGGCAAGGTTAAACGGCATTTGGTCTGCCTGGCTTAAAGCTGAGCAAATGCTGAAGGGTGCTGGTCTGAATAAATGCGCCGTTAGTTATTAAAAATAACCGACGCGCCAATGGTTTCACACATTTTAAAATGTTTTAAACGTTTTTGTTGGAGCTGGAAATGGTGTTTCAAGTGAATTTCATCATGATGTTTCCCCATTCTAAAGTGAAACACATCCACCTTCTCTATGAAATGGAAAAAGTTAAGAGCACTTCTGATGTGTTTTAATGTCTCCATGTGAATTGTGTCAGAAAAATGGCTCACTGTGAGGTTTATGTCTAGCTGGTTTATATATTCCAAGCTGGATGGGGCTCTGAGTGACCAGGTGTACTGGAAAGTGTCACTGCCCATGGCAGGAAGGTTGGAATCAGATGATCTTTCAGGTCCCTTCCAACCCAAACCATTCTGTGATTCTATGACATAGAAACATAGAGGGAAAAAGTGAGGGTCAATTTTTGAGTTCACCTTGTATGACTTGGTGATAAACTTAATTTTTTTTTTCTATGCTTATTCACATATATTCTAGATACATCCTAGCATGTAATAAACCATCCTTGCTGCAGCAATCAGGTTTTGTGCATTTATGGCACTATTTGGCATGGCAAGCGTCACTAATGGAGCAAATCAGACTAAGTGAAATTAATTGGATTATGTCACATAAATAGGCCTTTTTAGGGGTTGATTCAGCAGTTCCTGACAGAATTTAGGAAGGAGTTCTAAGAACTAACTTAATCTCTTTTAAATTTTTTTTCTAATTTAGGTGAGTTTTTAAATTTATTTTAGTCTTGAGGGGGTTCTTTAGGTACATGTGCATGTCTTCCTTTTTTCCTTAGTAGTTCCATTCAAGTTGACACTACTGAAATCATGACTTTATTTATTTCTTTTTTAACCTGAATGTTGGTCAGAACCTTATTTTGGACATTTTTGTTGCTATTGAATTATTTTCATCAGTATGACATTCTTCCTGCTGCAGTATTATCACTCCTGAATTATGGAGGATATGGACACTTAGTCTTGCAGGCTTGTTACAAAGTAGTACAAAGTAGTTGCCAGCAAGTAGTTCCTTATTTTAAGACCACTTTTATAAATAAAAATGCTAAAATCAAAATTTGATTTGCTTTTATAAAGAAAATGTAACTAGATAGCAAACAGACCTTGGAAAACTCAAAAAATTTTGATGCATCTTTTTCTATGCATCTGACTTATGGATGCAGTGCTGGTGCTGAGAAGTCACATCATTATGAAGACTTAGCTTGCAGATGCAGGTAACAATGACCTTTAGGATTCCCAAGGGCTGTTTGCAAGGAGCAGGCTGAGGATTGGTGGGGTTGCAGTGTGAGTTGCAGTGAGCTGTTGCCCAGCAGTTCCAGTCCGTGTCAGTAACGTTGCTGTCTCCCGCGCGGCGGCAGGGGCACAGGAGGATGGTTTGCTGCTGTGCCTGGTGTGAGGACCATGCCATCTGCAACCTCTTCACGTGTGGGTTTGACCGTCAGGCCATCGGCTGGAACATCAACATCCCTGCTTTGCTACAGGAGAAGTGAAGTGTTGCTGAGAGTTTCTGCAGAGTTTGTGTCGCCGTGGACTTCTACACCTGGGCAGACTTTTCTGAGCACTGGTCTGCTGTCGCTGTAAAAGCTCTTCCGTGAGGGGAGACTTGAGCAAGTGTTGTTCTTGTTACCACGTTGTGCACAGTTTGCATGGGTTGTACAGAAAAATGTGATTTTTTAAAAATTAGTTTGTCTTGTGTATGAAATTTTATATTTTGGCATCCACTGGTCAATATGTTCACTGTTGCGTAGAGCACATAAATGTTCATAAGTTATTTAGCATTTAATAGTTACACAGTAGGGCATTACATCTGTGACATAAATGTGAAACTTATGTAATTACTGTAGAGAGTGTATACAGTCTGTTATGTTTTTCCATGACTCTACATATCTGCCTTGTGTTAAAAGGAATCTGCAGGGCTAAAACTTTGAAATGAAGTGTGAATTTCACTAGTTGTATGATTGTAAACATTTTCCTGTTTGCATCTGATTTGAATACTTTTTTTAGTGCTGCCATATAGTGCAACTTCAACTCCATTTTTACTCCGGTTACAAGAGAAATAGTAGATTTGAGAAGGAAAATGCAAGCAACTTGTAGTGAGTATAGACTGCCAGGTTTATTTGTAATCTTAATTGTACTTTTTATTTTGAAAAAAGAGAAAGATTCATTCTGCCCTTCTTATATAAAGTAATTCTGAAACCTTATCGCATTTCATATTAGCAAAAATCCAGACTATTACAATTCTAATCACTGAAATCTAGTCAAGCAAATTCTGAAGCACTTTAGTTTATAGCTATTGTTATAAACCATTTATGAAAGTTTGACTTTACCAGTGAATGTGAGCTAACCTTTGTAAGAAGGATTAATTCCTTTTGGTGATCTGCCCAGAAAGGAAATAGTTTATTTGGGGGTTGATGATTTTGTTTATGTACCTACAGTGAGCATACTTTTAATTGTGTTCACTTCCCATATTTTTATTTTGAGCCAGCAATACAAAGTAAATGAGTTCTACCTCAAAAATGAATGTTGGTCAAGATGCATGGAATCTCTCTGTAGCCTAGAAAAAAGCACCTTTGGTCTCTGGCTGAAGTACTATCTCTGACAGGAGAAGAAAGACAATCATACTACATGTGATCCTTAAGGTAGTTAACACATGAAGCTAGTGGTGCAATACACTAAGTCAGCATCATATGTCACCCAGCCATGGCAGGGGCACTGCAGCCTCTGGCTTGTTCCAGAAGGGAGTAATTAGCATAGCTCTCCCTTCTTTCTCCCAAATGATCTTACTCTGGGTTTGCTCCTCACTGTGTTTAGCTGTTTTTGCACTGGCAGTGGGGTGTTACTCTGCAGCTGCTGCTGTCAGTAGATGCAGGTGGCAGCTGGTGTCTTGGAAAGAATGGAAGGGCTGCTTCAGACAGACTCTTGGTTTTTGGCTGAAGGGAGGTGCTGCCCTTGACTGTCTGACATATCACAGTATGAGATGAAGGGTGGGGGTAAGGAAAGGTGCACTCTGACAGTGGAATCTTGGAGTTCATGGTGGGTTGGCAGATGTATTAGGAGCTTTTTATCTCATCATCATGATTCTGTGCAACTACATCTGTGCTCATGTCCTCTGCATCACTGTTTGTAATGACATTAAGATGTGTGTTAGCTGGTTCTCCTGTTAACTAACATTTGTGTGGCATGGGAGTACAGTGGGATGGCATGGGATAATGAATGCATCAGTGAGGAATGGAAGGAAAATGGGGGTCCTAAACATTGTTTTGGACTGTAACATTGAGGAAATGCAAAATATTTAATGGAGAATATATGTAGTGTCTTTGTAGTACATGTCATCAGAATGGTTTGATCCCTTGTTTTTTTTCTGTTGTGGGGTTTGGGATTTTTTCTTGAGATACAAGATGGACAACTGTGCTGAAGTATTCTTAAATACTATAACTAGTGAGGTTGCAGAAAGCAGCTGCAGAGTTTTAAGTCTTCTGGTGGTAAGAGTTAAATGATGGTGACAATGTTTATTTTCACTTTTTTTTTTTTTTCTCCTGGGTTTTTTGCTCTGGGTTAAAGCCATTTGATGTTGGGTTACAGGTTTTATTCCTTAAGAAAACAAGACTCTCTTTCTTTTAGTTGGTAACAGAGAGAACTTTACAAAGGTTTATGCTGTTTTTAAAAAAAAAAGAGAAAAGTGTCTGGCCAGTACAAGCAGTTTATCCAGCATGGCCTGCATGTAGGATCTGGACAATGGCTCTCCTTTATTACCTGAGGCAGAGGAGAGGGTCACTGGTTTTGGTCCTGCTAAACTAAAGTGTCTAAGCTTCTCTCATACATATGTAGTACAGAACCACTGGACTCTATGCAGTTTAATCATCATTGCTGCAAACTTTTTATATCACCAGAGGGACCATCCTCTGGCACCAGAATGGGTGATTACGTGGTTTCATTTTGAAAAGAATCAACCAAACAAGGTGCTAGAGCCACGTTCTTATGAGCAGGCTAATACTTAAATCAGCTGAACACTGAACTATCACTTAGTTTAGTTTTCTGTACTGTAGTGAAGGGTAAGCCAAACTGCCATTCCCCTTGAAGCTAAACATATGAGCAGGGGTAGTGAATATACTACATTGACTAAATATGTGGAAAACATTTCATGGCTCTAAGTGTTCTAAAGAGTGTTTTTCCAGCACTGAACAATGTCCAGCATTTCATTAAATGGAGCAGAGTTGCAGTTACAGTTTCAGTATTGTGCAGAATTTCACAGAAAACTCATCACTGGGCAAAACCAAGCTTCTGTGTCTTTCTCTCAAGCAATGCACATCAATTTTCACGAAGTTTGTGTATACTTTTCAGTCAGAAAGATCTGGAATGAAACATCTTATTTGTTGCCTAAATCTGTGAAAACTACCTTTTGGGGAAAAGAATTTATAAGTTATGTGGAACCACTTTTTATTATTCTGCTAATTTGTTTTTAGATGTAAAATGTTTTTCTTCATTACAATTCAAAAGGCATTAAAACATTAAACAATTTTTTTTTGCAATTTGCTGTTTTTCTGTGTTGCATTAAGGTTACTATTGATGTCAATATTTCAATTTTTTGTAGTCAAAGAATCTACCTATTCACTTTCTACTGTTTTCTACTAAAAAAGTTTGTTTCTGAGGCGTTCATAAGTACAGTTTGGAAGAGAAAGCCAAGTCTGTTTATTACAGTAGTTTTCTGTGGCACTAATGATCATACTGCCAGTAAAGTATCTAGACTGAAAGGGTGTTCAGGACTGCATTTGTATTGTCTTCCCCCATTCTGTATGGAAAAAAAATTGTAATTGCATCTTGTTATGCAGATTATGCAGAAGTTTCCATGACTTTTCACCCCACTTTACAAACTGATATTTTAAAATGAAATCTAAACTTTTTTTTTTATATGTAGAATACAGTGGAAGTATTGCAAGACTACTCTGATGAGGAGAACCCACCCTCAGTTTTTCTGTAGATTAAAGGTTGGTTGCTTGTTGCACCCATGTTCAAATAAAAGCTGTGTAGTGTTGGAGTAAAACCCAAAGCACTTGGTGTTGTAGAAAGTGTTGGGTTTGAGAAGCCAAGGCAGAGTCTTGGCTGGTACCTGAGTGCACCTTATTCTCTTTCAATGTGTTTTAGGATCCCCCATTGCCACATTTGGGATTAATCAGAGTTGCTGGTGATATGGACCAAAAATAAGAGACTGGAGTTCCAAGGAAGCACAACTGATATAAGGGCTGGGTTGAGAGTGAATGCCAAACCCTGGACTTTAGTTGATTTTAGCTGAGGGCTTCCAAAACTGACTTATACTTAGTATTTCTAAGCTGAGGGCTTGCCAACTGGCTTAAACTTAGTATTTCTAGTATTATTTTAAACCCCTTATTAAATATCATGTACAACTAGTGGTTTCAGGAGTCTGTCTGTGTTTAAACCTGAAGATGAGCTGCAGGAGAACCACTCTGTCATGCACCATAGTTTGCTCTTTAGACCGGCATAGAAATTTTATTTAATGCTCTGTTGAGACCTGAGTATGTCACTGAAAAATTACTCAGCCTTGTGATATTTTATTTTTAAGGAGTGTTGTTACCTTTTCTAATTCCCACAGGTCAGAGTTTTCTGAACATAAGTAATTTGCAGGAGCTTACAGAGGAAATCCTGTTTAATTCAGACTGTAAATCCTGGTCAAAACATACCATTAACTGGGAGAGGTGTTATACTGGAGCAGTGTGGGATTTTGTAGATGTGCTGCTTGTCAGTGTCCTCCAAGTGAGAATATTCAGTACAGCCACAAGGGGCTGTTTCTCAGAGGTGTAGGGCTGAGGTTGGTGAGTGTTTGCAGCTTTGAACCCAAGTTCCTGAATTAGCAGCTTGGATGTCTGGTACAGGTTTGGGGAGTTTCTGGCATGGTTCAGCATGCCATGTAGAAGTTGGAATTCAAGCATTCAGACTTACTGTAGGAAAATGGAAGTGGTGCAAAGTGTCAGTGGTGGCATGTACAATAGAAGAGTGTTAATGTAGCAAAAATCCCAAAGTTTTGCCTCTGCCTTGAATTGTTTTGAAAATGGAACCTTCAGCCTGGCTGGTGACTGCTGTGCAGTGGAGTGACACCACACCACTGTATGTTAATTGTGTTGCTTGACTCTGCTTGAAGCTTCATTTTCATTTGTTAGAAACTGTTACAGTTCTGCCTCCTTCCACTGAAACTTGTCATACTTGGCATTTTTTAACATTAATTTTGTGTCATTCCTCTCCTACTTGTATTTGTGGCATTTCTCTTCTTCCTAGGGCAGAACGAATTTAGTTACATCTTTATTTCAAAGCCCTGTACCAATGAAACAAGACCATCCAGCAGTCCTGTGCTGGGAGGAGAGAACTGACTGATCTCAATGTGCACTTTTTCATCTTCATGATTTTTTTTAATTGTTCAGGTGAAAATTTTTAGTAATGGAAGTTGCCTGAAGGTTGTATGCATTAATGGGGTTAGTGAAGGCTGAATCAAGTCTGTGCACCTTAACTGATGAGAGAAAATAGACTTGCAGTGAAGTTGTAGGTTACTTAAGGCTTTGGAAAGCAGCATACAGTGATTTCAAGTGCTGCAGAAGAGTTATGGAGAAAGACTTTTCCCTTAGTTTGGAGCTTCTGTGCTGTATGCCAGAGTGGTGACCCAGCATCTGAGAGGGAATTAAGATGATTTGAGAAAAATAGGGGCACATCTGTGGTGAAAGCATTTGGACTGCAGATGAGAACACAGAGGAAGAATAATGAAGGGGGATGAGAAACTGGAATAAAATTGGGACAGCTGTGGGAGGTAGGCAGAAAGAAAATGCAAAGTGGTTCATAGGAGTGCATGTCTAAAAGGTGGAATTTATTGGTCAGTAGGGGATAAACTGCTGGGAAGTCAGTGTCTGGTGAATGCCCCTGACTTAGTGAGGAGCAGGGAAAGCAGAGAAGGGACCAGGGAGCAGAGCAAGGCCAGCCTGCAAAGGGGAAAACAGCAGGACTGAGCTCAGGGGAAGCATGGATATGGGGATGTGCTTATGGCTAGAGCCTAGAATGGGAACAGCTGGAAATTAAGGTTCCTTTGCATTTTTAAAATCAGTCTTCTTGGTCTCCTTGATTTTGGGGGAAAAGCTTATTGCATATATAGAGCCAAATTCATTTGTATATATTGAATTTTCCATTTCAAGTGTTGCAATGGTGCAGAGATCACTCAACAGCTGATGCATTGCTAGGATTACAAATTACAAGGATTTGTAATCTTAGCAGAGAAGTACAGATGTTACATACAAACTCCAGGTATGGCAGCAGGGCATGTGGTTAATTAGGAATCACTCCCAGACTGGAAATTTCTTGAGGGAATAGTTGATTTGGAAGAAGGAGATGATATTTTGCACAATCCCTTTGAGATTACTTGGCCAGTCCAGAAAGATTCAGAGTGGTTTTGGTTGGAAAGGACCTTTAAAGGCCACCTAGTCCAACCATCCTGCAATGAACAGGGACATCTCCAGCTAGACCAGGTTACTCAGAGCCCTGACCTTGAATGTTTCCAGAGATGGGACATCCAACACCTCCCTGGGCATCCTGTGAAACATTGGCACAAGTGAAGTTTTATAAAAAGCTTCCTCCTTATAGCTAGTCTAAATTGACCCTGTTTGAATTAAGTTGACCCCTTGCCCTATTACAACAGGCTTCTTCTAAAAATTTTGTTCCCAGCTTTCTTAGAGGCCTCATTCAAGCACTGGAAGGTTCAGTATTTCAGGCCTGAACAGCCTGAATTGACTGGGGAATCTCTCTAACTAAACCAAAATAGAGGCATCCAAACATACAGATTGCATCAGGGAGATACTGCTGTGTTTTTAGTAGTGCCTGAGTTCTGGGAAAGGCAGAACTGGCCTTTTCTTCAAATTTTCACTATGTTGATCTGTCAAAATTTGACAATCTCATTCACAAATCCAAGTGAAAATATGTACAGATTTTGACTTCAGTGATCGAAAGTCTGACTCCAGTTGCTGCCGCAATGATTTTGGTCAAAGTATAAATCTTAAATACAGACATGATCAGTCTTACACTGAGCTGGCATTTTGACAGCAAGGAAAACAAATAGCTGACTTCATCAAATAATGTCATACACTTATGTGGGTTTAGCATTTAATACTTTTAATGATTTTTTAATACTTTTAATGATTTTTTTAAAAGCATGTTACCCCTTAACGTGCTTAATTTGGATAAAGGCAGAAATCTCAATTTTTTAAGGGTTTTTTTTTAGACCTTATTTAAATCTTTGCTCTGTCACTGAGATCAGCCTTGTGCAGACATGAAACTGAACCTGAGTATTTTGTGGAGCAGTGTATGTCCTCTGTGATGTCTGAGCATATAGAAAGGTGAGTAATCCTAATGCTAAAAAAGAGTAAAATCTGACACACCACACAACAAACACCACTGAAATCAGGTTGGTGGTGTAATAAAAACTTAAAGTACAGTATTAAACATTAGAAGGGAGAGACATGAAGGAAAGGCAAAACTTTTCAGCAGCACTTTAAAGGGTAGAGGGCATAGTGATGACATCATTATTAATGAAGGTTGTTTTTCAGTGTGGATAATTGCAGGACATGTTTTGGCCTCTCGTGTTTTATGAAGCTTGTGAAAGCTGTCTCTGCCAGAAGGCTGTTAGAATGTTGGATGCTGTCATTGAGTGGTGCCATCTTCAAAGGTGCTGAGCTCCCATCAGCGTTCTGCGCAGTCTGGCGGGTGGTTGCTAGCTCGGAAAATCAGATTCATGAGCCTAAAGATGGATCTAGAAACTTCATTTCAGGAGCCTGTTTTTGAAAATGATACCCTAATTTTGTATATATTTTATATTGCCGCTGAATTAATGAGCTGAAAAGTTCTTGGCCACAGATGCATGGTTTACTGAAATATAAGAAAAGCAGAGAAATTATTTTCCCTCCCAAATTATATAATGCTGCTTAGAGTTTACTGTTGGGAAACTGAAGCTACATTGCGTCAGTTCCAGATATAACTACTTACTGCTCAGTGAACAAACACTTCATTTCAGATGCTCATTTTTCATCTTGCAAAAATCTCACCAATGCAGACATCATAGCATGAGCTTTCCATAGCAAAGGGAACGGAAGGATTAGCTGATTATAAATGTGTAGATAGATAGATAGATAGATAGATAAAAATCCCAGACATTTCTGCCATTACCAGCAAAACTGAGGAAATCAAACCTGACTATTTGTGTATGGCTCTGACCATCCAAACTGATGCTGTGTTTCTGTGAAAACATGATGTTTTGGTAGATCTCTCCTGTGCTTACTTACACTACTGGATGCCCATCTGCAGATGAGCTACCAAGGGGGATCTTTGATGTGCAGAAACAAGTATAAAAACAGGAGGTAAGAGAGGAGTTATGTACTTCTGTCTCCAAATCGTTTTTGACCAGAAAATACAATTTCCTTGAATTAACCAAGTGCTCAGCACTTGGTGAAGGCACAGGAAGCTGACCTTGACCTT